AAAAACCTAAGCAAGTTGAACATTTTTACATTTAAAGGTCACTTTACAAGACTGTCTGGGTTGTGCCTGGTTGGCAAGACGCAGTCTATGGACTTTTCTCTAAACATGGGATTGATAGAACCCGACTGTAAGATGTCACACTTAGCCATCTAATCGGTTCAGTATTATATGTCTAGGCTCCAGATTTCTTGCCGAAAAAACATTCTTCCGCATCCATCATTTAACCAGCTTTTATAGCAGCGGTTCGTGATATGAAATTGGCAGCGATAGACAGCCCTGTTTGATGAATTATCTGGAACTATTTTCGGATAGCAGAGAACTTGGAGAATTGTCTGCCGCTCTGTTGTTACAAGCCTTAATGTGTGCTGCAGACGTTTATGTTTGGCCATAAAAAAGGTGAGTGCCACCTTTAGAGTGTTTTTTATTGCGAAGAATCTAGTTTCAGTGAGTCTGCACACATTTTAACAGCATTATTATTATGTACCTGGCTGAGCATGGTGTATTGTCACAATAGTCCAAAATAGCATTTAGGATATGTGCGTGAGAATGAATAGATATTAGCAATGAGTCAATACACATTCTTTAGTGAGCATAAAAACATAAAATCTTTATTGCAGCCTGTTGTTGGTACAAAGCCCTGATTATTCTTGCAGACGATCGGAATAGTTTTTGCTCTGGGATTTGTAAAGTTATGTTTAAATGGTTAGAGAAGACACAGTTGTAGCCTGTCAAATTAAGCAAACAAGTCCTGAAAGCGCAAGGATTATATTGATTTTGAACAGCTGAGAGGCACCAGACAGTGTATGAAATGTCTGATATTTGCTGTTCTGAACACTCAATGTCTGTCCTGGGAAAAAGCCTGTGGTGCACAGAAAAGTAGTGTTGTTTGTTTTGAGATTCATGGCAGCAAACAGTTTGTCATAAATAGAAGAAAAATGGGTACTTAGCATCAGTGGTGTGTATCGTAGCCGTGCAGACGGCTTGGATCGGCATGAAATTGGTTTAATCATCAGGCCAAAAGATGAACAACTGTGTTTGAAAACATGTGGTTCTTTGATTAAAAAAGACAAAAAGTTGTCTGTGTACATAAAAACTTCAGGGGAGGCAAGGGGGATTTCTGCTGTCTGCAGATTAAACCCATTTGTTTTCTTAGAATCTGGGTTAATTTGAGATGAGTTCAGTAACAAGGGTGCCAAATGAAACAAAGGGTTTTCAGACTCAGGACTCTGACTGGTTTGTACTGTGTACTGTGTGTTTGTATTCAACCAGACTGACACAAAATGTCAGATATTCAAATGTTTCAATACGTGGAAGAGCTCTGTGTTTCTGTGTTACATAACACTGAGGATAACAACCTTAAACCCTCCGTTTTAATTAGAATTGGGAATAACACCTCGGGAACCAGTCTTCCTCCTTCATCACAACTGTGACATCATGTGTGCGTGTTAGTCACTCTCTATGATCTGTTTGTGGAAGAGTTGTTGTTCATTATTCTACAATCAAGAGAGACTGTTGTTTCCAATCTCGTGTTAGTCATCACTGTTGCAGTCCAAGAAACATGCAGATTGCTTTGCGCTCACCCTTTCATTGTCGGTAATTGCAAAGAAAGATGACGTCCCTGTTGTTAATCCCACCTACAAAGAAACTGTGATGGAGAGAGAATAGCAGATCTGTTTAGAGTTGACAGCAATGAAGTTAGAGTTGTTTTGTTTGTATTATACACCCAACACATGGCTCATAGGTGTGTTTGATTAAAGACAGCCGATGGTGTATTTTTTTTATAATTGACATTACGAAATACGAGGAGTATGAATGTGTGATAACTTGAAAGCAGTCATAATTTGCAGTTCTAGCTCACACCAGTATCTTATCATACGGAGCCCGTGGTGTCATTTTGTGCAAGAGCAAACATAGCATTCTAAATACCAAAGCAGGCAAAGCTAACAGGAACTATTGCAGTCTAATGAATATCCACAGCAACAGCCAACACACTCTGAGACGGGCAGCAAGTGAGCGGAAACCCAAATTTCAATTTCTCCAAAAGCTCTGAGCTACCCGCCGCGCTGTAGCTTTGATCATAGTGGAATAATGCACTTTGATGCTTAGAATAAAAGATCTACCTTTTGATGTATGCATGTGGGGTATGTTATTTTTTCCCCCTTGATACTGTGGGTTTCCATGAAACTGTCAGAGTCATCACTTGCCTTGCCCTGACCCAAATTTGGTGTCAGGATGTTAAATATAAAACTAAGACGGCAAGCTACGCTGATGCTGCCCCAGGTGTTTGTCTTGTTTCGATGGATGCAATGCGGAGAGTTCCGACCAAGTTAAACTGGAGTTGGGAGGCACTCCTTCAGCAGTGCACCATTGTCCTTAAAGTGAATTACACTCAGCGCTGATGTTGTGGGTGTTCAAGAGGGGGAGGGTGTGAATTAAGGTTTACAAGTGTGTCAGATATTGAACTAAAGTACAACAGTGACAACTCTAGCAACAGTGAGGAGCCCTGTATTGAGTCAGAAAGACGAAAACATTTGTCACCACAAACACAATGTGCTGTGGACACTTTTTGTTGTCCGATGTGCTGTTATACCTGTAGAAAAAAGTAGTACGCTTAATTGAATATACCTGGTAACTACTGTGAGCTATTCCAATGAACACACAATCTTCCTGTCAGCAAGAGGTTTGAGCTTTAATTCTAATTTCTTAACCTTTTATATTAGTTGAGAAGCTAGCTTTCTGTATAGTGAATTCTAAATGAGAAAACATATAAATCTTGATTTGAAGATTAAAAACATTTTATTTACATACCTTACAACATGATGCCTTCTGCAAAGTGCTCTATACAGACAGATTACGTTGCAGGTAAACTTGCTGTATATAAGTGGGTGTGGTCGCCAGTCCCCCCAATCTAGTAGTATATAGTTTATATTTAAGAGTAATTGATGATGAATGTGAGATGAGTCCTGGCTGTGCCTGTGTGTGTGTTCGTTTAGGCATCGTCATGTAGTTCATTCATAGTTGTACATAGTCAGAGCATCCTGAGGTCCGACTCCTGTGTCAGAGGCCTGTCCATACTTGGTCTAGGCTTCATTATTTTTTTAATTGCCAACAGTTTGCGTTGTTTCAGGAGAGTCACTGAACTCCCTAGAGTGTATATATATATATATATATTTATTTATATGTATGTATGAATATGTATATATATGTATATGTATGTATATAGTAGGCCAGTTACTTGATGTAGTTTCCTACCATAGCCTTCATACCAGTACATAAGCAAGCAAAGATATGTATAACTCACAATTTTTTTTGTCATAGTCAGTAGAGAAGAAGACATCAGCTTTGGTTGGTTATGGCTACATGTTATTAAATTTCAGGAAAAAAGTGTAACCCATGCATTATGTAATAATTATTACATACTGTTTACACACACCAATGATCGAATTTATGATTGATTATAACCAGGTCTTGGATAAATAACAGAGACGACTACGTAGCAGTGTGTCTCTTGAACCAATTATGCTCACAAAGGCTCCATTTGCTATCAGATGACCCCATCTTGAATATTAAGCGAAGAAGGAGGAGATTCGGGTGTCTAGACATGCAGCTGTGTCAGGACAAAGCTTGGCCACTAAGTTAGAGCCGCCTTGTCAGATATCATCTGTTTTCACCAGTTGAAGAGAAAGGTCAAAAAAGAAAGTGTGTGTATATTTATTCATATGTATACTTCTACTTTGGTATGTGCAAATTGAGGACAACGCCTGTTGGTTAAGTACAAATGATTGTGCTTATTAAGCTGCACTTGACTGAGCTTCCACACGCATGTTAAAATAACTTCCACTGGTCTTTTCTTCTTGAGCGTTAGGAGGAAGCAGAAGCAAATGATGTTGCGATTTATGAAGTTGTGCAGTACATTTGAAAAAAGGTTTGAGTCAGGGTATTGTGACATAGCAGGAATTAGAGCAATGTGGTTTAGGCTTTGTCAGTAAATAAACACAACTTAGCCAAGTTCCTGTATTTCTCTCAGACGCCCCTAAGATAAACACCTATATTTCACAAGTATATGTATATCCATGGTGAACGACTGAATCATTCATTGAGATTATTATTTAATTAAGGTAGGTTCCTGCAGCTGTGTGTAAAACTTTGGTAAATATAACATTTTGTGTCTATTTAATGGAGGATTAGTGCTGTTTTTTTTGTTGATCTGTGAAGTTTGTCCTGAAAGAGCTTCTTTCTCACCTTTACATCACATTAGCTACTTTGAACAAACCGCATGTTGTAACCAAAGAAATATTTTCCTCCCCCGGCCATATAAGCTTGTGTGAAACTGGTATCATTGGAGCTCCACTGTGTCTCCACCGCTGTCTGAAGCTCTTAATCCCCTTGGATGTTGTGTGTATCCTCTCCAAAAATAAAATATGTTCTGACCCTTCCCTCCTGTGTCTATTTTTCTAGAATGCGGATGACATATTGGTAGCATCGGCCGAGTGTCCTAGTGATGACGAAGATTTGGAGGAGTGTGAGCCTGGAAATGGTGAGTCAACTCAGGAAGTTCTGTTGTCATTGTGGTTGGTATAAAAACAAAGCACAGTCTAGAAAGTGACCCTTATTGCACAGCACTCTGTATGCTGCTCTGATTGTTTGATACAAACTCCATTGTTATTGGTTTTTGAAGCAGCAGGCAGTCTTTAGCATTGCATCAGGTGGTATTTACCCAGCTGTTGCAGCGATCTACTGCCCCGACACCGTTCCAGCTGTATTACGCTGATCATGGTCAAAAACTGCCAAGAATCACACACAGTGAGATTGAGGTCACAGCTGCCAAATACAGAGATGTAGATCTGCAGTTAATTATTTTTATCATGAAAGATTCTGTCTGACAGAGATAAAATGAAAACATAATGGGATTCAACTGCCCTTCCTTCATACTGCTTAGCAAGTTACAACCAAAGCTTAAGTGTTTGAATATAATTTTTATTTATTTGATATTTGTGGAAAGTAAACAGCAAAGAGGCAGACATGTCATATACACTGAGAAAGTATAGTCACCACACATTACATACAATTGCAGTCAAAAAAGCATAAGTCAGGGTGTTTATGACTAGCTATCACCATTTTGCATTGGAAAAAAGTCCTGGACAACAAAGTATCTTAGCATGAAGGGGATAGAATAGATACATTGTGGTGCTTATTTTAATAATGCAGTTTTGAGTGTTTGATAGACGGTTGGTGATTGTTGTCATGTTGGTAGAAAAATGGTGAATCACAGAGGGATAGAGGTGTTTGGTTTTCACTGTGTGGGGTGGATACAGCAAGAGTGTAAATATTTTAAAGTTACTGTTTATTGTTCACAAAAGAGTATTGTTCTCCTGTCACATGTGTAGTACAAAGGCCCGGGCGGCGGCCAGGGCAATATCACCTGACGGCCTGGGTGACGCCGCCCTGGCCATTGTCACCTGCAAAGGAAGCCAAAATATGATTAAAAAAAAGTCATAGGTTAGTATGTCGTCTCAAATATTATTAAAAAAAAGTCATAGGTTAGTATGTCGTCTCAAATCTGATCAAAAAGTCATAGATTAGTATGTTGTCGCAAATATGATAAAAAAAAGTCATAGGTTAGTATTTTGTCCAAAATCTGATCAAAAAGTCATAGGTTAGTATGTCGTCTCAAATATGATT